GGCGGATTCCGTTGTTTGGGGCTGACACATTGTTGGTCGCAGTTGGTTTGCATGGCGTACCCATACCTGCGTTCCAACCAGCACGTTGTAAATGACGTTACCGCGCTTCTCCTGGATCGTGCCTGACGTCAATTTTGCGTGTCCATCCCGGTAAGCACGTACAAGTACTGGCTGACCCGGTTTAAACGAACGTCGCTTAGCACCATACCGCCGATTCAAGTCACGTTGCATCTTGCGGTTCCTTTCACTAGCTGTGGACTCTGACGACGGCCGAACTGCATCAAATGGCATGCGAATTTTTCTCTTCATCATTGTCTCAGCTGGTGATATTCCACCCGGCGTTTGTGGATTTTGTGTAGATCGATACAGAAAGAGGAAGCAGTCGATCACCTCCTCTATGTCTCCATCACTCCTTGATTTGAGGAGAGCGCGTTTGAATGTAGACACAACCCTCTCCGCTTGGCCGTTCGATTGTGGGTGGAATGGTGGAGACCGCACGTGTTTGATGGCGCATCGTTTGCAGAACTCCGTGAATGTGGCTGAAGTAAACTGTGCTCCATTTTCCGTCACCAATGTTTCAGAGCAGCCGAACCTGCCGAAGATTTGTCGCAACCTCGAGACTGTTGCGCTGGTGTTCGTGCTGCTCATGAGGGACACTTCGGGCCAATTGCTGCAAGCGTCGACCACTATGAGAAAGTTCTGGCCATTGATTGGGCCTGCAAAGTCGACATGAACACAGCTTCAATGTTTAGTTGGTTTAGGCCACAAGTGGAGTTCAGTCTTCGGCGGTCCCCCTGAAGCGGCAGCGCAGTTGCCACGACTTCTAGTTAGCTGCTCCAGCTGTCTGTCCATAAACGACCAGTACACATAACTTCGGGCAAGCGCTTTCATTCCATTGAGCCCTGGATGTCTTGTATGGAACTGCCGCAACACTCTTTCTCGCAACGCCTGCGGGATAACTACTCTCTCCGAGAACATGATGCAATCGTTCAAGATGGAGAGCGAATGTCTTCGCTGATAGAACTGCTGCATTTCGGCAGATGAACACGAATGTGGCCAGTTGGTTCTGTGGAAGAGTGTCACATTCAGGATTGGGTCTCGAAGCGTTTCGGCCCGCACAGCATCGGCCGTAACTGGCAGACCATGTAGTGCCTCGCTCACCAGGAATTTGACATCAGGTTCGATCTCAACTGAGGCAATGATGGTGTCCTCGTGTTCGTGCTGCGGGGAATCAATGAGACGTGACAACGCATGTGCCTGGCCCATCGAATCCGTTGACTGATAACGGATTTCAAAATCACACCCCAGCAAGGTGAGTACCCATCGTTGGAGTCGATTGGCTGTATAGGCAGGAATTCCCTTCTTCGAGCCGAAAATGGCCAGCAGCGGCTTGTGATCTGTCAAGGCTTTGAAGCCGCGACCATACAGCATCTTGTAAAATTTCTTCACAGCAAACACTATGGTCAATGCCTCCTCGATCTGACTGTAGTTCCCTTCGGCTTTCGTCAGCGTCCTGGCGGCATATGCGATCGCCTTCTGAGATCCATCTGGGAACGTATGGGAAACTATGGCATCCATCCATAGAATCGACGCGTCTGTGGCAAGAACAATATCTCGGGACAGGTCAAAGTGAGTCAGGAGTAGGTATGAAGCCAGCAATTGTTACCGCGGCCCGCCCATAGCAGCCGTCGAAGGTAGCTCTCTCTGTCTGGAGCAGCCCGGAGAAGATTGTTGGTATGCCGCCTATAGCCGATTGGCTAGCCAATGAGAGTAAGCCAATGGTATGATTTTACCTTCAACTGGACTAATCAAAATGACCTTCCTTGAAGCCCTCCAGTTAGCACACTACTTGGTCAGCTAACAAGCGAGTTATTGCGCATCTAGTAGTTGCTATCGTCAGGAACTTTCACTTACGTCTTTCTCTCATGAACTATTTAGTTTGACCACATATTATACCTGTACATTCTGTCTCCAGAGTGCTCCATACAAGTTCCGCCCGAGGTCTTCTGATTTGGAAGGTGGCTGCATAGTGACCAGAGTGACTGCATTGGTAATCCGTACGATCAGCGGAAACATAACAGCAATGACTTGATGCGCGCGAACACAGTCTGGTATTCTGGCGTCCAATTCTCGGTTTGGCCCTTGCTCAGCAACTTTTTCAGCGGTGAACGCAGGCGATGCAGTTCGGGCAGAAAAGCCCTGTTATGACTGATTAGGCCACAGAATGAACGCAGCGATTGCAAGTCGGCAGACGGGGCCATCTTGTGAATAGCTCGGATATTTCCTGGATCAGGGCGACGACCGTCTTTTGAGATAATGAAGCCGAGAAACATGATGGTTGGTGTAAAAAATGTACACTTGTCTTCACGGATACGGAAACCAGATGACTGGATGTGTACAAGTACTTCAGCGAGCCGCTCAAATAGTTCTTCTGTCGTCTGACCCATTAAAATGATATCATCCAGGTACGCCGCAGCTCCAGAAACTCCCGCCAGCATGGTGTCCATCAGCTGCTGGATGAAGGCTCGTGCTGTTTTCACTCCAAAAGGGAGGCGGTTGTACGGGTACAAGACAGGATGAGTGTTGATGGTCAGCAATTCTTTTGAGCTTTCATCAACATCGATCTGGAGATAGGCATTGCACAAGCCGAGCTTGGCGAAACACTTGCCACCATTCAACTTAACAAAGATAGCCTCTATTTTCGGAAGAGGGGTATTGATGATCGTCCAGTGCGGTATTCAGGCCAGTCGAAAAATCGGCGCAGACACGCACTCTACCATTCGACTTTCTCACAGCAGTGATCGGCGCAGTCCATGAGGAGTAGTTCACTGGTGTGATGACACCGGCTCGCTCCGGTTGGTCCAGATCCTGATCAACTGCTGCCATGACTATATACGTGTTGGCCTTTATGCTGTGAAGACTGGCTTGATTCCTTCGCGAAGGCACAACTTTGCTTTGAACTTAGTGCAGTGACCGAAACCATCTACAAACAAGGCGGCAAACTTCTGCTTTTGCTTTCTCGTCATGTCTTCTATCGACAATGATGTATGGACTGGATCGGTTTGGACTCTATTGCAAATCTGACTCATTGGAAGTTCGAACAGTTGTAACTTTTCCATTCAGTCAAGCTCAAAGAGGTTTAAGTTTGGTCGGTCAGACAAGTGACAGGTTCCGGCCTGTTCCACTCCATTGAGTGCAATTTTGCAAGTTATTTCTCCGACCAGTTTCAGCACTCCACCGGATGCGTTATGGGCGAGTTTATTGGAATCAACCATCTTCGGCCTCTTTATGTGTTCCCAAGTGTTCTTGGAAACGATCGTTATATCTGATGCCGTATGGAACTGCAGCCTGGTTGGGATTCCGTTGATAAGCACAGTGATAAATCGGCGGCGTGTTCTAGAATCGCTGTGAAACGTGGCAATCACCGATAGTGATCCTGCGTCAGGCTTCCTGAAGTTCTTCTTTCGGTAGGACTGCTTCACATTTCTTTTCCGAGACTGATGACAAACGTCTTCCTTGTGACCGCCTTTATAGCACTTATCACGAATGTGACGCTTGGATGGACAGTATCGTGCGAAAGGACATTCACCACATGACCAACAAAGTGTAGGCGGCTTGTTCGGCGTTCTGTTGAACAGCTTGATCGAGCCAGCCTTTCTTGCTTTCTGCACAGCATGAACAGTATCGGCAATGAAGGGGCGACTCTGCTCAATATTAACAGGTGGTTTGAAGTAATCAACCGTTTGCATTCGCCTACAAGAGACTTCAATGTCAAATCTGGATCTTGATCCAACTTAGCAAGAAGCCGAGTGCGGATTTCCGCGTCGTATGGAGACTGTAAAGCCCTGACAAATATGAGACGCTTAAACTGGTCATCCGTCAAACAGCGTAACTTGAAACGTTCACGTTCACAGTTAACCATGTCTGCTAGTGCCCCATAATCGTCTGTATCACGCTTAACAATTTTTAGACATTGGTAGCGAATGCTAAACAAAGACGTCGACTCACCAAAAGTTTCTTTGAGTGATGCCACTGCTTCGTTGATAGTGATATCCTTCGGCTCTTTGGGCAAGATGTGGTCAACGAATCTTGTATCTTCATTAGTACCGAGCTTGCGGAGCAAAAGACGCACTTTCCATGAATCATCCTGACGGCTGAAATCCGTCTGGAACATGTCCTCCCAGCGTTTGAACCACGCCTCTAAAGTGCATCCGGAATCAGCATCATGATGAAGTTCATGGATTGCATTCGTAAGAAGATCAAGTGAAACAGCCTGCGTGTTCCGTGTAGCTGCTCCGTTTGACTGTCTGTTCAAGCACTGCGTCAAACTTTCAATCAGTTTCATTTGTGCTTCCGTCTGTGATTGTTGCTGAAGAAGCAGATTTTGAAACTGTTCGGCGGAAAAGGTTGTAACATTTTGGTGCTTGTCCGTCGCCAATGTTAGATCTTCACGTGTTTTCGCTATTCCGAGGGAAACCTCCAAAAATTTCTCCGCAAAATTCTAGCCCAGCCGAAGCAAAATCAAAAATCCAGCGATCTTAAGCACGCAAAACGTGTTAACAAACACGCTGCCAAACGTAGCCAAAACGCTTAACAACTACGCCAGACTTATGGGAATTATATAGGGGGCTCAATAACCTTCGGCTTCTAGAAAAGGAAGGTCAACTGGTAAAGTTAGCAGTTTCCCTGCCAAAAATCCGTATGCTGGCGAGCACGTGAAGAAATGTAAGGTTCCAAAAACTTCGAGATCAATGCGTGATAGAAGATAATCGATTAATTGCTAAAATAGTGATTTTCATTTGTTGTTCATTTTCCGGAATGCTTTCGGCGTACGTTGTGGAGAATCAGTGTATATTGTTTCTGCGCAAGCCGTTGCTATCTCGCACATCGATACATCTGTCTCATCGTTGTGTCTGCCCTGATCTGGGTATTCTACACCGAGAGGAAGAGGAAGCCGGACATACTTCACTTCGTTGGACTTAATACCGTTGCCCCTTGCTAACGGGAATGGGCTGATGGATAATCCCAAGTCCTATGCCGCAGTCGCGAATGCCAGCACCTCAGCAAAAGTGAGGATAACCATAGCTTAGAACAAAGCTTTGAAGACGATGCCCTCACTCCCTAAGGTGAAATCAAACACCCAAAACGCAGAACTAAAGCTCGTCCTATATGAAATAGCGCAGCTTGAGCAACTGGTCAAAGAGTGGAAGTGTTCACAGAAGCCAACATCACCGGGACGAAACAAGTGGCCTGCTCGCAACCGCTGCGTGATAATCACAAACGTCCTAGAATCCAACAATGAGACTTCAGCTGAAAGGTTACTCGACGACCAAGCCTTCCTTAGACAAATGATCTCCATATTGTTTGATAAGAGTGAACAAGTAATAAACCTAATCTCTGCTTTTTGCCTTGGCAGAAAACAAGAGGACCTAGCCAAGTTTCGTCTTCTGAAAATCGTCTGTCAGGCTGAAGAAAAATGGCAGCCCATCTGGGGATGGATCCCGCGCCTCAAAGGTGAAACCTCCTGCGTTCTGAAAGACTTCTCCTCAAAGAGCCAAGTCCGAATGAGGCAAGCTGTCTACGAGCTGCGAATCCGACGAGCAAATGGAGAAACAGATCTATACATAGTTGTTTTTCGCATAGTAAGAAAAACTCGGAGAGCTTGATGGAGGCCAATCCTCCTTCTTTCCGGACCTCAAACATAAAGAACGGATTACGGGTAATACACGCGAACCTGTGCAGTCTCAGAAACAAGCTAGATGGGATTGCTCTCTGAACAGCAACCAGGCCTACTGGCGTTCACCGAAACTTGTCTGTCATCTGATATATCTGACTCGGAGGTTCATGTTTCAGGATATCAGCTGCTTCGATGCGATCGCTTTGGTGGGAGGTCTGGAGGCGGAGTAATCCTCCACGCAGAGAGCTACCTCAAGACCCGCATTGTCCAACTCGCCTCACAATCCACGATCAGAGGACACTGCGTCGAAATTTCTGGCGCAATGACCAGCTCAGATTTAGAACGGCTGCAAATAAGATGGACTGGTGTATTCCGCAATCCTTGGAGCTTGATGACGCATGGGAACGCCTACGATCTATGATGATGCGGCTCATTGAACACTTTGTTCCAAACTGCAAGAGCAGACCACCATCAAAATGACCCCATGGATTGATAAAAAGTAAGATCACTAATGTAAAAACGACAGAAACTATGGGACCGTTTCAAGAGCACAGGACTAACATCAAGCTACTTAGCGTACAAAACTGTCAAAAACATATGCACCCTGAGAAAACGAGACAAATGACTACAGTATGAACATGGACTGGCCATGGAATCCAAAAACTGTCCCAAGAAACTTTTTGCTTACTTGAAGCGGAATGCCAAAACAGGTAGTGGAATCCCCGTTCTGTCCTCTTCTAAGGAAGGTACCGTTCTCTACAGCGATAATGAAAAAGCAAACCTGCTGGCTGAGCAATATTCCTCGGTCCATTCAGTGGAATCTTCATTGCTCAACTGGTGTTTGCCTGCGCTTTATTTCTATATAGACCTAGTTGAAATTAACCCTGAGCTAGGACGTTAAGGTTTTTCGGTAAGTCTTCCTTCTCTCGCTTGTGGTTGTTCTTCGTTCCGTAAATCCTTGTGATTGCAAGGCAGCGAAGCAACAATTCAAATGGCTGATGTACTGCTGTTGTTAATGATGATGATCGTAGGGTATCCGTGAGACCGTAGGGAGATGACTATTAAACGGCTATACGGAAACAGACGCCATCTCATTTACCCCCGATCTGGAGCACAAGGATAATAAATTCGCCTGACGTCCAACCTTTGACAGTTCTGGTATGAGTAGTTTTGGAGGCATTCTATGATCCACCCAGTGTAGTTCACTCGGTCGATATGTACACAAACTTTCACAGCAATTTTAGTTGCGGTTACTTTGTAACGGATGCTGATACGAGTTTAGTTCCTGAAATTAGAGCGCACCTTTTTACACTCTTTGTCTGCGCTTTTCAAGCACGTTCTTTTCAATTTCAGAGTTCCTGGGTCTACTGTCAATGGACAGATAATGTTCAAAATTGACAGACCTCACCTGTGCGGTCCGGTGGAGCAGCAACCAAGGTAATTAAAACTAACACGACCTATTTCCTCAACTCGTCTAATGTTCTTTTCATTACTTTGTGCTGGAGCTTGGTTTGTTTACCTAGGCAGTGTGCTATCGAAGAATGTCTTGCTCCGATTTGTTTGGCTGACCGTCGCGAAGTTGTTATTACTTCTTTTCCACGAGCTCTCATGCCATTGTATGAAATCTCTGTGAATTCCTTGCCTTACGGCGAGAGCAGATCATCTGCATGCGATTAAGCTTGGCCGAGGCAGTGAACACACTGACGTGCCCTATCATCTAACATCAGGACCGTTTTTCTGTTTAAATGTGATCAATTGGATCCCAAATACGCAGTTCTTTTCATTGGCAATTTCATCGGAGAACTTTGGGGTACATTTGTAGCGGAAAAGACTTCACAAAAACGCTAACGAGAATCTCATTGGGCTACGGTAAGAGTCAGTCCGTATTCCGGTTAGTTCTATGTCTTCCATGTGTCCGAAGCTAGCCGTATGCCACAATAAGAAACGCAATCTGAGCCAGTAACACTTTCGCCTACCAGACACCGAGCAACCACGCCGAACAATCACGACGAACGTACGCGCAGCTAACCGAAGCGAGAACGATGAACAAAATTCGAAGTAGTATTGTTCCGATTTAAATAAAACCACTGTATAATAAATAGTGAAAGATGAAACAGGTGAATACGATTAAAAATGTGGACATTTCGAAGCGCTACACATTTTCTCTAGCGGGATATGCTACTGTAACATGGTATTCCTGACCACTGATAATATGCTAATGATGATTGCTGATTGGAAGCAACAACTATGGATATCTCTGTGTAGCTGCATCTAATATCTCTGGGGGAGAAAGACCTGTTATGTTGGAGTACGCTCGATATGTTTTATATCGGCAGTGTTTTTTCAGGAATTTCTTAATTTTCGACACCGATTTTTCCTCAACTACGTGCTGCGGCAGGTTGTTCCATACATTCACCACTCTCCGTTCGAAACAGAGTTGGTGAGCAACCCGCTTCAAATCCGGTACTACAAACTTGTACCGGTGTCCTTTGCTGCTTGTTGTGCGCAGGTACAGCAGCGGCCTCAACATGGGGTATTCAGCAAGACGCGGTGCGTCATGATGAAGTCAACCTGCAGGCGACAGTAAGCTAGGGTGTAAAGCCCTAGTTTCTTACACTGGTCTTCGTACGACACCTCATAAATTGGGAATCAGCCTGGTGACCACTTGCTGCACTTGCTCAGTTTCTTCTACCTCGCCCCGGATGATAGGACAATACGCGGGAGAGCCATACTCCAGCATTGGTCGTATTATTAAGACCAAGGGACGAGTGACAATCTCTTCGGACCGAGTGCTGAAGCTGCGCTTGAGCGCCCAGATCATACGAAGGTTGTTTTGGTAAAGCTTATTCGTGTTGTCCATGGACTTGATGTCGTAGCGTGAGAGTACACCGAGGTCTCTCAGGAATAGTGCGGGACGCAACGGTTGACCCGCCACACTGAAGATTGAACTGTGTTCATGAATTGCGACTTGACCGGATTGATCGGAAGGTTGACCTCCGCATACCATGTGCAGAGGCGGTCTAGGTGCTGCTGAAGCAGGTCGCAGTCATTGGGTGCGCGGATTACTCTACGCTTTCAAGTCATCTGCGAACAACGCACAAGGTGAACGGCGTGATTAAGGCACATCCTTTATATGGATCGGAAACAAAATCGGCCCCAGTACAGTGTCTTGGCACACACCACTACTTGATGGATACCAGTCGGTCAAATGGTTGTTAGCCTGAACCCTTCACTTTCGACCAACAAGGAAATTCTTGATCCATCGGTGCATCGAGCCGCCAAACCCACACACCCTCAGCCTGTCGAGGAGCACTTCATGGTTCATCTTGTCAATACTGGCACATTGCCTGAAAGCCTCAGGCGTCGCTTCACTTGGGCGCAGATCCTCTTGGGAGCAGTTTTTGCGGCGGCTTTAAGCTGCTCTTCGGAGCTTTTGCGCTTTTTTGTTTTCGCGTTCCTGCAGTGCTTTCGCCGTACCTTGTATGCCTGGCAATCCTCATTAAAACCATGTAACATGAATTTGTTCCATAGTTTGCGTCGTCGTCGGGCCAGTTTGCTGTACTCCTTGTCGAACCAATGTGGCTAGACTGGCCCAACTTTCTGATACTTGAAGGGTACAAATCGGGCGCACGACGACTTCACTCACTCCTTAATAATAGTCGAACGGGTTTCAACAGACGAATCCTCTGGTGACGAGCAGTCCATCTGGCTCACTGCTCGAGTGAAGCCATTAAGTCCGCCTCCTAATAGTTTCATGCTGGCTTCAGCAGAAGAGATTACGGCAGTGACAGTTCCAAGCTGGCTATGATCATCGAGTGATCACTCATTCCCAATGGCTCCAAGACTTGAATGTCATGCACACATTGCTCACAGCAGGTAAAAAGCAGATGTAAGCACGATAGAGTTGCACGCAGTTATGCGCGTCGGCTGGTTGATGTGCTGCGTGCCCCCATTTTCAATAATCAACTCCGCAAACTTCCTCTCGACTTCACAATGGTAGGGGAGAAGTTCAGCCTCAGGCCACTGTATTCGGAGTAAATTGAAATCGCCCATGAGTAAGAACAGCGGACGACTCATTTGTTTGCGGACATGTGACAATCGGTTCAAGCAGCGGCTCAGTAGACTGCGATATACCACGCCCACGAGCATCTCGCAGCGTCTGAGGTGAATCGAAAATTAACGACCTAGTGTCAACTGAAGAAATCGTGGGCGTTCAAGCTGAGCTTGTTGGAGTGCTTGCAATTTGCACCAGGCATAGATTCGCTAGCGTACTGGCTGGTGACTGTTTCTCTGATTGTGGTGCATGACAAATCGAGCTGCACGTTTCAGTGCACTTCGCTCTACTGATCCCCTTGTCAGGCTTTTCTGCTCCATTCTACCCAACCTTAGACTGACATTGCTTACAAATAGTCTTCAAAGTCGTGCTGAACGCCTTGAATTACACGAAATTGGTTCACAGACAGACCAGTGCACGAAATATGGAACTTCACGCTGCATAAACTGCACATACTCGCATTTGCGCGATGTACAACGACTGCAGCAAATACCACAAGGTATCCGCTTTGCTATTTCAAAAATATGCACCGATAGATACGATTAAAACTAGCATACTGTACTATCACAGAAAGTGCAATTAACTAGCACACGTATTTATAATGAAGTAATTCCAAATCACTAATGTGAGTGAATTGCACAAATATTTATGGGATAAAACGACTTTAACAATGTAAAAAACGAGGTAAACTGGCCTGACGAGGATGCGAGCAAAATACGACTTGGACGGCGCTACAGGCAGTCGGTGATGAAGATGATAATAGTATAGGCATCATCATCCTCATTATACACATTAGCTAGAAAGGGAAACACATCAGCTACCGTATCGCAAACATAAAAGAAAAAAGGACAGAAAAAATGCAACAGGTGCAAGCCAGCTGAGCTACCGGTAACGGATAGGTATCGTTCCGGTAAGCTACCAGCCGGCTA